GGAAGATAGCAACAACACATTTGGGTCAGTGGATTCTTGGTTGTTCTCGTCTACATGTAAAAAATGAGGATAGGAGTCTAAATAATTTGGGAAATAATGCAATTACTTCATTGCACAAACACTGACAGCATGAAAAAAAATACACATGAGTAATAATAAAAAATTGGAGAAAATTGAAAAACTGATGTTTTACCATTTTGTGGAGGAGGACAGGCGGTTTTGTCTTGCATGAGGAACTGTCCTAGAGGATACTCTGGCAACAGAGCCAGACAAATAGTCTACCCTTGCTTCGTTATAGCTTTGGAATTTTCCTAATTTGGTAACTGTCGTATTTCCCAGGATCAAAGATGCTTTTATATATATATATATATATATACATATATATATATATATATATATATATACAGTAGCGTCCAAAACTAAGGGACAAAATTTTAAAACCTAATATTTGTTAGAAATAACAACTGTGAAAAGCTGAAATTTTGACAACTGGTAGTCGTTATCATCCATAATAACATAAAATTTGAATCATTTGAAAAGGATAGAAAAAGAATTATAACAATTATTTATTTATTTTCAAAATAGGATCGTCCAAAAGTAAGGGACAAAATTGAGAAAAACAATGTAAACGGCAAAAAAACAATAAGAATACATGTACAATCAATATTTAGTAAATGAGCACTTGCTCTCAATGACAGCTGCACATCTTCGACTACAAGAACGAATCAGTTCTTGACAATCCTCGATACTAATTTTAGACCATTCTTCTTGAAGCTTCACCCACAAATCCTCCCTTAGTTTTGGACGCTACTATATATATATATATATATATATATATATTTGGTTGGATAGATGTGAGTTTGTGACCCTAGGTTTCATGCTTTCGCGATCGTCAGACAAACTGATTAATGTTTTAAAAAATTTGGGTTTATGTAGATTGCGTGTATTGGTGTTATTGTGAAAGTGGTGGGGAAACTTCGCTGCTTTGTCATTCATCGTACTAACGCAAACATTGATGTATGCAGACACATATACATACAAAGTTTCCCCCATCACTTCCACAATAACACCAATACACGCAATCTACATAAACCCAAATTTTTAAAACATTAATCAGTTTGTCTGACGATCGCTAAAGCGTGAAACCCAGGGTCACAAACTCACATCTAACCAACCAAATATGTTAGCTCTATCTCTGATATTGAGCGCTTTCTAATAAGTACCATGATAATATATAAATAATTATACATATATATATTTATTTATATTTATATACACTTTTCACACACATATATATATATATATATATATATATATATATATATATATATTATATATATTTTAAATTTTCTCTGTATTTTACAAGCTAAACAAAATCAGCCAACCAACTTTGCTGGCTGCTTGTGTCCAAGTACACAATTCATCAGGGAAGTTATCTAATCTTTGTTGAAGTTGTTTGTTCAAGCACATTCCACGTTGTTAATTGGACCTAATGCAATATCTGGCAATGTCTGATGAGCTCTAAACTTTTAGTATCACCAGCTCAGGGTTTTACAGCCAAAACAAGCCTTACTCTGTCCATGGGCTTGAATCACCCTCATTCCCATGGTATGAAGAATATTCCACTCCAAAAGCTTCTTCTCAAGAACTGTTATTTCATAGAAAAGACTCCCCTGTGGATGCTTCCCTGGACACTACAATCTTAACCTCTTCAAGTTTCAACTTATGTTCGTATCACACACCTCATTCAGTAACACTCTACTTTGAGTAGCTCTTTGGCCTTTTATTTGGTGAACTTGAGTGGGAGGGGGTGAAAAAAACAAAAGAATGCCACAATAAATTTAACCTGTCTGAGTGTTTACAAAAAGTGCAAAAAAAGTGCAGGAAAAGAATTAATTTCAAAAGTAAATTGAAAAAATTATTTCAGTTTTAATTCTGTTTTTCTTCTTCTTCAAAGTTGTTTTTTTTTTTTCTTTTAAGGGTGGCTTTCCGTACAACTCCCATGGACAGTACTGGAGTACCCCACATCTTAGAACACACAGTGTTGTGTGGCTCCCATAGATTCCCAGTGCGAGATCCCTTTTTTAAAATGCTGAACCGATCTTTGGCAACATTCATGAATGCCATGACAGGTAAGACCCCCTCCGTGGATTCTTTTCTTTATTATCTGCAAATTGTCATCACTTCTTGGGAAAGATAGTGGAGTAGTTTTCTGTTGCTTTTTCTGTAGTTTTAAAGTCAGAGTAGCACTTCTAGCCTGGCTACCCAACAAAGCTAGAGAGCCCAGTTTACCCAACTATTTGATCCATAGCTTGATAGAGAAAAGATGGATTCATTTCTTTTCTAAGGGCATTTGCGCAAAAATAAATGCATGACCAGGCTTGAATTTGAACGGATTGCAATTTCACCTTTCATCGCAAATAATGGTTAGGCTACATGTACCTCCTCAGTGAGTCCAGTCTACTTTACTATTTAACCCATAGCTAGTGGTGTGTAAAAGAGAATGACTTGGGCCTTTCCTAAAGGAGTTTGTGCAAAAGTAAACATAAAAGTAAATACCGAATTTAGCCTACTTGGTATTACAACGTTTACAAATTTATAGATTTCTGTCCAGTACCTCTAGTTATTCGTGACTGTTGTTAACACTGTATTGAAATACAATGCTTACTCCTGAGTATGATGACAAACTACATCTGGCAGCAAGGCCTCTGATTGGGGGATTGGCGGTTTTGAGGAACCTGGAACTACCTCTTAATTGTTGTTGTTCCCAGGTCCACCCTGGCCTGGGGTGGTAGCACCTGTTAGGGTCCCAGCTATGGGCAAATAGTGTTGCCCCCAAACAAATCACTGAGTATAAAAACACATTTTTTTAGTAACTATACCAGTAATACATTTTTATAACAAAATAACCAACAATACATTTTTATAGTAAAATGACCAACAATATATTTTTATAGTAAAATGACCAACAATATATTTTTATAGTAAAATGAACAATACATTTTTATAGCAAAATGACCAACAATACATTTTATCTGAAGTTCAAAGTATACAGTTGCGTTCAAAATATATTTAGTTGAAGCCATGAAATTGTATTCAGATTATTTAGATTTTGGCATTAAATGACCCATAGAGGTGTTGATGTGCCACTAATGAAACACAACGACATACAGTGCTACCCAATTGTGTGCACATTCAGACCATCCCAGGTTGTAAGTGTATGAAAGTTGTGGGCATTTCTGACCTTTGAAAGGGTTAAGCCATATTGTTGTCAATAGTGGATTGCTTAAGATTTAGTCAAATTTGACTACACTTGCTTGTTAAAAAAAAAAAAAAAAAATCATGTTTTTAAAGGATACCTACATGAATTGTTTTATTTATTTTCTCACTCTTGTTTGCATTTTCCCCTTTTTTCTTTAATCAGCCAGTGATTGGACAGTGTACCCCTTTTGTACCCAGAACAGACAGGACTTTAAAAATCTTCTATCAGTCTACTTAGATGCTGTGTTTTATCCTCAACTTCGAGAACTTGACTTCAGGTTGGTAATTATTTTTCTTTGGGTGAAAATTGCTTTGGACATACTGCATGTGAAGAAGTTAAATAATTGCCTTTGTTTGTCATATATTTTATGATTATTAGTCCACTCACAACATCAAGTGGAACCCATATATACAATCCTTTGCTAAAAATGCTGGAAAAATACTTGGTTTATTCTGTCATTCCAGGAAGTGCATTTCTGGCATGTTTATGTATACAAAACTCAGATTAGACTAGAAATGGTGTACAGAAGTCATGACTGGGATAGAGGTGCCCAATTTATAGCCCCAGAAAGTACCTGGCTCCTTGTGACATATGCTTTATCTTTACAAGGTTCAGATTAGACCAAACATGCAGTACTACTGACTTGTCTAGGCTGCAGATGCTCATTCTATTGCCTCAGGAAGTACCTGACTCCTTCTGACATGCTTTATCAATACAAGACTCAGAATAGACCAAAAATGGAGCACTACTGCCATGTCTCAGCTGGAGATGATCATTCTATCCCCCTGGGAAGTGTCTGATTCTTTCTGGCATGCTTTGTCTACACAAGAGCCAGATTAGACCAAAAATGGAGTATTGTTGTCGTATGTGGATTGGAAATGCCTGATCCTCAAATTTGAAATTGTTCATGCAGTCTTGTTGGGGGAAGACTTATTATCTACTCTGCAGCCCCTTTACTCACAAATGCAACATTGCCCATTGCTGTTTCCTTGGTAAATGTTCAGACAAGTAAATGTTCTTTAGTTTCAGCTATTTAAGCATTTACAGCTAAGACCCCCCCCCGACAACATACTTTATGCATACAAGACTCAGATTAGACCAAAAATTGTGTACAGCTGTCATGACTGGGATAGAGGTGCCCAATTTATAGCCCCAGAAAGTACCTGGCTCCTTTTGACATGCTTTGTCTTTACAGGATTCAGATTAGCCCAAACACCTTCATTTCCTCTGTAATCCAATTATAAGGAAAGTGTTCCACTCAATTTTTTTCCCCTGAATTTCCAAGTTTTGGAACAGATTCCCTTGTGAATACTTTCCTACAATTTAAACGTCTACAAATTAAGGGTTAATTGTTATCTGTCTGCCTTATCTTTATAATCTTCACTTCACACTTTTTCCTCTTACATTCATATTATACACCTCATTCAGTAGCCCTATACCATGATTGGCTCTTGGGCCTTATATTGGTTGAACTTGAAAAAAAAAATCCTTAAATAATTTTCTTTTTTTTCCAGCCAGGAAGGTTGGAGATTAGAACATACCGATGCCAAAGACCCCAAATCTCCAATTATTTTCAAAGGTGTTGTCTTTAATGAAATGAAAGGAGTTTTTGTAAGTAATAAGTTCCCCTTCAGCGTTGGTCTTTCAGGTCAAAATTCATCATATTCATAAAGTGATGAAAATACTTAATATAAATAACCTTGATAAAACTAGATGCATAATACTCCCTGCCAAATGCTTATGGCCATATCACATTGAAACACTGGTTCTCATACAATCACTGAAGTTAAGCAACACTGACCCTGTTCAGTACCTAGATGGGTGACTGTTTGGGAATACCAGGTGCTGGAAGCTTGGCTGTGCGGGTGGTGTAATGGATAAAGGCTCAAAATGTAAAATTGGAGAGCCAAGTTTGAATTCCAGTTGGGTTCGTTATATACATTTATGGGCCAAAATACCATTGGCAAAAGTATGAATCCACCATTTTTCTCCCAGCTACTAGTTAAATACTAAAACTTATATCAGAAAATCATTATCTACAAAAAATTCTTGCAATCCAAAAATATGTTTTGGCTTTAAGTAACCATAAAATAGTTAATAAAGCATAAAAAACTAACAGATCAATAATAAAATAAAACTAACTGTGAACTCAATTGCAATCATTCAGTTATATGCCATGAGTGATACATGCTTAGGCGATCATGTATCTTTCAATTACATGATTGACAAGTCAGATTTTTTCCCGCAGTAGGTTGCCATTTCTTTCTGCCATCGACCAGTTACCATCCAAGGCTATAGAACCCAGTTTGTCCTGCTATTTACCCATAGCTTAGAAGAAGAGGATTCATACCTTTCCCAAGGGTATTAGCTTGTAAGTGAATGTAATGGATTTGACTGGAATTTGAACTCGGCTCTCCAATTCCTCAATCTGAGCCGCTATTCATTACTTAACCCAATTGCAGTACACAAATGAAAGGAATTTATTTGACCTTAATATAATATACTACAAGTACTTCAAAAACAATAAATAAGAAATTTAATTAATACAAAACAAAAGGAATCTATTGCAAAAATATAACGAAAAAATTCTATGTAACATGTTCCATTCTTCAAAAGGATGTCATGCAAGTAGTCATCGATATTTGTATTATGAAGAGAAGTACATTAGAATCACTTTAATCTCTGAAATCCTAGTTATTTCATATTAGATTATTGTAAAAGTTTTTGCCCAGTTTAGAAGATTAAAAACAATTTTACATACTCACAAAAAATCATTTATTAATCAAGTTTCCATTGTTTTTAACAACTGTCTCCAATTGTTCTACAAGCTTGTTGATGCCATTTTTATAGAAACTTTGTGGTTTTTGTTGGAAGTAGGTTGTATGGTAGTTTTTAAGTGACTGTAAAAAGTCAAATATTTTGTCATTTAAATTATTCTGTAAAGACTGGAACAAATGAAAACTTAAAGAATGTGGAGGGCATCCCAATTCCAACTCTAAGCTTCTGCAAGATCTGTTTTGCAATATGCAGTCTTGTGTTGTTGTGGGGGAGATGACACCATTTTGATTTGTTTATCTTGAATAGTCGCATTGAGATTGGTGAGTTAGTTGCCATACTTCTGTGGCGAATAAAAAGAAAACAGCAACCAGCGAGTAAATTCAAGCTCTCCCAGCTGGTATTCCAACCTCGAGTCGTTCCTTCTTGAGTTCTGTCTCAAAATTGCACTAACAGACTTTTCTAGCCGCCAACCGTGAATGTCACTCAAAGAACTGCCTCCACTGGGAAAAAGTAGTTGCTTTTATATTTGTCCATATACCCATAATCCCTTGCATCTTCATGTGATCCCATAATTCATTGCGTCCCTGTCCCATAATGCATTGCATCTTTATTGCATAAAAATGCAATGCAAGTCCCCCCTCATTCTTTTACGTTATCTGGCTGAGGACAGATTATAGCAGAGCGATAAGTGCTTTTTTCTCCCTCATTTCAACTGCAGTAGCTTTACATGCTAAGCAAATACGGGCTCTTTTTTGGCGGGGACAAGGCAAGTCGCAACCAGTTGTGCTCGTCCCAGGTTCTGTCTCATCATGGCTGCCACAACTTCTTTGCAGTTATTGTTTTATCAGCTGGAAGAAACTGAAAGTGAATTATTCCTCTTCAATACCACCAAACAGCAAATCCTTCATTGGATGCAAACCTGCTTTAGCCACATGTTCTGCCTATTGAAAAGCTTGTTTCCATCAAACATTATCATAGATGATCCATTTTTCATCGCCTGTGACGATTCTGTCTAAGAACTACTCTTATTCATAGTATAACAGTAAGGAATTTGCCACTGAAACACAATAGAACTTGTTCTGTTCCACCAGAGAGTGTGACACTCATGAGTTGATCTTGGAAACTAGGCAGTTGAGATATTGATTTTCAAACTTATAAAAATCTCTTCCATCTTATTTTCCATGATGACAAGCAGAGCTTCTTTATTGAAGTTGGAAGCTTGCCCAGAGCCTGGTTGAGCATTTAGATTAAAATCACTCTGATGAAATCTGACAAACCACTTTTTGACCGCCCAAAGATCTGGAGCAAATAAACCTTCTGAACTTTTTTTTGTCGCAGTTCTGACTCTTACTCCTTTTTGAAATTCATGGGGTATAATATAGCAAAAGTGCAACTTTTCATCTTCCGTCTTTAAAGCATTAATTTATGGACAAAATGTCAACTGAACAATGAAAGGTTTTAATCACAAACACAGCAAAAATCAACATCAAAATAAACACCGGCGTCAAGTTGTGATTATTTTATATTAATCAAAATCTGGCACAAAATTTTGCAATGATCTTGATATTTAATGCTAAGTGTAAAGCTCATCAAATTTAAGAAATAAATAATATAAATAATCTTGTTAAAACTCGGCACAAAATGCTACCTGCCAATTCAAGAATGATTACAACTAAAAAAGAAATTATCTAAATTTATCATAAAATTTATTACAACTACTTCAAAACAATAAGAGACTTAATTAGTACAAAACAATTATCAGCTGGTGTTAACAAATCACTTTTTCATGTGGAAATGGTAAACCTATATTATCAACTGGCAAAAGAATTTTAAAAATATTTTTTCCAGGTTTCTACAGAAATGCAGCTCGTTTTTGAAAAATGATTTTTTCATATTCTTATCCTTTAAGCTTTCCAGGTCATGACTATTAATTGGAAATCAAGTAGCATCTCTAAAATGTCTTTTCTGCCTCATGGTGGAGTAATGGATAGTGGCTCAGAGTGAGAAACCGGAGAGCCAAGTTCAAACTCCAGTTGAATCCATTCACTTACGTTCTAATACCATTGGGAAAGGTGTGAATCGTCTTCTTCTCCCTGCTAGCTATGGGTAAATAGCAGGACAGATTGGGTTCTTTAGCCTTGGATGGCAACTGGTCTACTATAGAAACAAATGGCAACCTACTGCGGGGAAAAAATCTGCCTCGTCAGTCATGTATCGAACGATACATAATCGCCTAAGCATGTATCATGTATGGCACATAACTGACTGATGCAATCAAAACAGAATTGTCCATTATCCAAGGTACTGGCAAAGTGTAATGGTCATGCTAACTAAAGGGCAGACAAGCAGAATCATAATTTCTTTTTTTTTTTTTTAGTAAATGTTTTCTTTTTTTTTTTTTTTAAGTAAATTATATAAGCTTTAGTTTTTCCATTATATATGAAAATTGAAAAAAGAAAAAAATCACCCGTAAACGGTTTAAATAGATTTCGCACCGTTGCGATTGGCTGTTGGTCAATCTCCAATCAAATGTGTGATAACGGGGTATATTTATAGAAGTCAGTGTCTACAAGCATTTTTTAGAGGGCGTTTCAGAGTCTGATCAGCTCTGAGGGGGTCGATTTGGTGAGGTCAGTATGATGTTTGAAAGAGCCGAAACTGCCCAATGATCCATTTCCAGAACATCATTGACGATGCCCTCTAGCACTAAAAGAGCGTATATTCAAAGCAGAAATATATAGGATATAGCAAGATTTTAAAAGTATTTTCAATGTATTTTCTTCTTCATCTAAATATTGAGGGTTATAAGGATTCTTTCATGGCCATGTGGCTAAGTTGTTAGGACGTTCACTTTCTGACCATGAGACCCAGGTTCAAATCTCACCATGGTCGATTTGTCAGTGACTTCTTGATGTTATCAGTCTGGATTAGGCAATCTCAGTGTGCAGAACCTTTGGAAAATTCCTGAAAACCATGCCACGGGTTGATCCAAGTCATGTGAGTTAAATTGGGTAGACGGAACCCTTTTGGAGTTGGTGATGGTTGTGCTAGCACACAGTCATAAGTCATTGTGACCGAGGTTTTGGCCTTGTTCAGAATGTTGATCATGCTAGATAATGCATGATTTCTCAAAAACTAACTAAGGTCCCCTCAGCATAGTTGTAGTATAAACCACAAGTAGGCTCTGGGTGTTGAACAAGCACAAATGTGCCTTAGTAGACGGGCATCCTCTGATACAAGTTGCTAGCCAACCATAAGGACCCTTTTAGTAAAAACTTATAATTATTCCAGATTTTATTTTCTTGCGGATGAAAGTATGAGATCATTGATAATTTTTGTTAAAAGATTTACATATATATTACTGTGTCTATTTTCAGTCCAACTCTCAAAATATCTACCAACAAGCCCTGGAAAACAGATTACTGCCAAGCCATACTTATGGTGTTGTCAGTGGAGGTGATCCAGAAGACATTCCCGATCTCACTTGGAAAAACCTTAAAGAATTTCACACAACCCATTATCATCCAAGTAATGCAAGGTAATGTGTTTTAGAGCAACAGAGCTGAGGTGTTATGAAAGAGGTTGGGGGGGGGGGTCTGAATTTCTGGTTAGGTATTGTTTTTTCATTTTATTTATTATTTTTTTTTAATTTGTCTTTGCTGAATAGCATGTTTGTATTGAGTATTTTAAGATGAAATATGTGACAGATATTCATAGAATTTTTGCGTGTTCCTTAGAATAAACTGCTCTTCATGGAACAGTGTAAATTCAATAAGACCAAGGTATATATGTTTATTACAATTAAACATTATTACATTGCACTGTTTGCATGTATTATAAAGTTTGTCACTTAGCTGAATATTCTACAGAGTTTCGTAGATAGACCCTCAAGGAATCACTCCATCCACTCGTCAGGGGATATTGGCAATTGACTGTTTATATTTCTAGTTTTTTTATATAAAAAAAAAAAATGTGTGCTTTCTTGACCTTTACCACATTGCAAGTGACAATATTCACCGGAAAATTCTCTCCCTTTGGTACTCTGGAAGCATTCTGTTGTCATGACAGGGTGAC